GTAAAAGATATTAGGGTATAGAAAATCCACTAAAGAATCCCATCTTCCTTTGATCTTGTGAGCCTGCAACATAGGCAGTCTAATTTGAGAAAACACCTTCATATATATTCATTTTCTAAACTTGAGTTTTCACACATTGGATCTTTTAAATAAAACATACTTGCAAGACATTTAAAGTATAACTAAGCTACTCAAGAAGTCAATGCAGGTCAAAAACTCTTGATTGTGCTCTGGATAAATATGGAGGCTGATTCCAGCAGAAGCTGAGATGCTTTGAATCTCAATATTCTCAGGATTACTCAATAGTCTGTAGTAGATTATTTCATTTAGGATGACTTTGACCTCCAACTATGGCATCTATGTTCTTTTGATTGGAAACATAAATCTAAGTGACAGTAGATCTGCATTGTTTTTCTTTTATTCCATGAGTAGGACATTTCATACCTACCACCCTACTGTGGAATGAATGACTGGGTAGAATCGACAGGTGAGACTAACCTGGCCATTCCTAATCAAGCTATTACTCTCACTTGGTCTCTGGATAGATCAACTTGCCCTGTCAATGAAGCAAGTGTTCTGCCCAGTTGTTTTTCTGTCCCACAGACTAACTCCACCAAAATTAAAATGATACTTAAATTTATTTGAAAAAATACTAAAATATTTTATAACCAGCTATCATATGATTTACCAAATGAAGTTCTAATCCTTTTTCTTGGTATTTGAAATCTTCTGAAAGAAGATGTCAGATTGTACTTCCAGCCCCTTCTTCTGCTCCTATCCTACAAATAGCTTTGTGCTCTAGATTAAACATAGCTGTATATCAGAATCGTGTGAGCAATATTTTTAAAATATAAATTCCTGGACCCTCATCCCTAAGCTAATGAGTTATTATGATAGACTAGAGCAGGGATTAGAAATCTGAACTTGGGTTCTAATTAATATCAGTCTGTACATTGGGATAAAAAAAAAAAAAAACCCTAACAACCCATTGGAGAAATGGGCAAGAGGCACAAAATCTCCTTAAACACAAGAAAACTAGTTTAACCATACTCAAAAAGAGAAATGCAAATCAAACTACCCAACATTGATACCAATATTTGTGTATCACTTTGGTCAAAAATCCCCAAAAGTTTGGTCACACTTTATTTGGAGAGGTTTGGGGAGCTAACTATTCTTAAACATTGCTGGTGAGATTGCAAACTGATCCAATTTGTATGGAGAAAAATAAGGCAGTATTCACCAAAACTATATATATTTTCTGTTTGATCCAATAATCCCATTTCTTAGAATCAATTATAAAGATATAACCACAATTTCATGATTAATAACCTTTACATATATATCTTTAAGAGCGTTATATTTGTATAATAACAAAATACAGAAAACAATACAAGTGTCCACAAAAAACTGGTGAAATAAAGCATAGTAGAATCTCACAGTGACAATAAAGAACAGAAAAGATCTCTACATTCTTGTAAGGACAGATCTTAAAGAAATATTTGTAAGTGAAAAGGTAAGGTGCAGGACAATATAAAAACATGCCTATTTTTGTATAAAAAGAAGCACTAAGTGACTATGCAAGGACTTGCAAAAATCATTACCTATGGAGGACAGGATCAGGAGTAGGTTTAAGACTTGTCAATATATACCTTTTTGGAAACTAGAAAATGTATCATTTCTTTAAAAAGTTAAAAAAAAAAACTTAGTAGACTCATCACCTATCAAAAACAAAAAGCTATTCTTATTTCAAGGCTCTTCTATTAATCAACCCACTGTTCAAACTTCTCTGGTATTTAAAATATCTTCTTTAATGACCGGGACTGGAAGAACTTATCCATAACTCCACTACATTCTTCAAACTCTTGTTTTATACATTTAACATAGGTACTATTCACCCCTTGACTGTCAGAGGTTAATTTCAACACTGAGTACACTTGATGTCAGAGGCAGCAAGAGTAGTGGAATAGCATGAGTGAACAAGTTAAGATCCAGGCTCTCTAGCCTGTCTAGATTGATTGACTGATAATTATTAGTAATCAGAGGCTGAATAAACATGGGGACATATGACCAGGGTATGGAAATCTGAATAGTCACTCAACCTCTCCTCCTAGCTCAGGGTGGCAGGGTTTAGAGAAGGCAGCACTGAAGAAAAGAGCAGTTGGAGGCCACGGTTAAATTTTCAGGACTGCTTCAGAAGGAAAATAGAATCACATCTCTTTCCACTCTGACAAATACTATTAGCTGGAAGCTTCTTCCTATCTGACAAACTTTGTCTATGATCTGACCACTTAACATATACACCAATATCCCTATCCTAGACTGATAATTTAAATGCCAGTAACAATAAAGGGTACCTTTATCTGTTAGGTCACTTTAAGCTCTCATGTATAACATACTCCACGCTGACAAAACTAAATGGCCATTGGAATTTGCTCAAGTACATATGACTCTTCAGACTAACGTCTGAAATATTAAGGTAAGTGTCTCGGAGTTTGTAGGTACATCATTAATGAGCCAATTACATTTAGCAAGATGGACCACCTGCTGATGTAGTTCACACAATAGCTTTCAAGGACCAGTAAAAAAGTCTGGAAAAGTACAGAGTACTTGATTTATTTTTCTGGAGAACTAAGGCCATTGGATAGATTGCCAGCTGAAAATTGTACAAGGCTGAAGGTTTGTTTCACTGAGACTATGATTCATGCCAATTCTTATTTTCCCATGGCTGACTCCTACTCTTGGCTGAAAACACTATGGCCGTTTCCATAGGGCAACCTGGGACACAATACAAGAAGAGAAAGGTTTTCCATGAATTAGATGAGGAACGAAATAAAGCCCCACCCACTCCAAATCAGGTCCAAGCTGCCATTCAATGAGGCAAAAACACAAATCCCAACACCTGAGTTTCAATAAGTCAGAAAAAGAACACCCTCAGCCCCCTACAGTTCACATTCAATCCAGATGTCTAGAAAACTGTAGAATTATGCTAAAAATTTGCCAAGGCAGCACCAGATGCTTTTAATAGGACCATATACAGGTTGAGGCAGAAGGTGTAATGACTTTTCCAAACTCCTCTGAAATAAGGAATGGGAATACTTTGTTCAAGAATTGATGGAAGCACATCTGATACTGGGAACACCTGGTAAGGAGGACTTTCATCACCAGCCAGCACCAGTCCAGCCCATTAGCTCCTGCTACTATGATTAACTCCAGGAAACAAATGGTTGAATCCCTGTTAACCACTAAATATGGCTTTATAGTATTAGCCTTTTGGGCTTCCTTTTTATCACCAAGAGTACTAATGCAGTCTGACCTGGAAGAGCAGGGTTGCAAGGGTTCATGAGTCAATGTTCTATAATTAGTAGAAAGCAATGGTAATTATTTTGTAATTTTAGGTGCTCTAGTAACAACTCTGAGAGCTCATTAATCTCTAGATGACTGCCAGATAATTATGGTGATGATTATGGCCACAAAAATAGTGTCTATTATCAGACAAGTGTTAGTATATATTATCTTATTTAATCCCCACCACGCCAGGGAAATAGGTATGATTATCTTGTGAGCTAATTTACTTAAGATCACACAATATGTTGTAACTCTGAATTTGAATCTGTTTGCCTTCAGAATTACTTCTTGTCTTTTGTTTGTATGACTATGTTGTTTTATTAAGAGATAAATGTCCACAAATCAATCATTAATCCACAATGATTTATGATAGGACATGAGCAAGGATATTATTTCTTTGTCCTTTGTGACCATCTCAGGGGACAGTAAGCTAGTAAAAGACAATGCATAGCTGAAATTTATACCTAAGTTCTAGAGGTATGTTGTATAATATTGTGCTTATAGTTAAAAACACTATATTTTGCACTTAAATTTTTGTTGAGAGTAGGTCTCATGTTAAATGTTCTAACCATAACTAAAAATACACAATTTAGAAAGTCCATATTCAAATCAAGTTGACATTATCACAACATAACTATGACTGATATGTGTTCATTTTTACTAAGATCATATTGCCAGAAAAATCTGTGAGACAATGTGTTTACATATATTGAATGTAAATGTTAATAGTAGGGAAATGCTATTTATATTATTTCAGATGAAATATATCATATACTTTATGAAAAATATGCAGGATATATAAAGAATGAAATATAAAGAATTAGTATGAAGGGTTTTCATTACAGTAAAGCAAGCCTGAGGCACTGAATTCAAACCCCAGTATCACCAAAAAAAAAACCAAAAAACAAACAAAAAAAAGAATTAATGTAAAACAAATTTTTAAAAGCTAAAATCTTAGCAATGTCATAATTATAAAAGGAACTGGTTGGGTCAGACTGGTCTTCACTATTCACAGTGAATCTTGCAACATTTTCATGGGAACTGCAATGAGTTAGATTTCAGCTGCCCAAGGCTTAGCTGTGCTCCCTACAAACCTCAAATGCATCATTAATATAAAAAATTGTGAAAATTCTAAATTCAGCCAAATTCTTTTACTCTCCAGAAAGACCTGGGTACAGTTCAGTCCATATTTTTGGTGATTTTTCATTTAACTTAACAGTTTCTCTCAAATCTGCTTACTTCCCTCCACAGGCTTGCCAGGGTCAAGTATTTCATGGGATCTGGCAGGTCCCCATGTGTGTTGAGTCACCTGCAGCATAAAACTTGCAAGCAGATCACAAGTAAGAACACCCAGGGTCCAGAAGATCCTGATACCTCCGTGACTCTCCCTCACACTCTTCTTATTTCCCTTCACCTTACTGACTTTCAGGCAAGAATAGTGGTCACAAATTTTTCATTTTCAAGTGCTGAAACTTAAGCCAGAAACCTCCTGGAATGACTGTCTAAATAGATAGGCAAACTCACCTGTGATACCACAACCAAAGAAACTTCTAGACTTGAATGTTTCTTTTGATCCCCCAAAGACCTTTCCTATAATATTTCTCCCACCTTAGATACAAGGAAAACAATAATAAAATTTAAATGTTTAAGAGAACCTAGCTGGAAGTGGTCGATTTTCATGGTGCTGTTGTTGGCAGGGCCGAAGATTGTGATCACAGAGATTTTCCTGGTAGCCATCTTGCAGAAACTTTCCAGATACTCATCACGCTGTTGCACATACATATTATTCTCAGACTTGGGAGCGGTGATCAACTGGAGGTGGGTGAGGACAAGCAAATATTAATTCACACGTTAGCTCACACTGAGTCAAAACCCAGAGATGATTTTAAACAGAGGGTGACTGAAATACAGATTGTTCTGTTGGGCACTTAGCACTACCAAGGCCAATGTGGGACATTTGGACAGGACTCTTTTTTTTCTTTTTTTTCTGTATGACTCCATACAGCTTAGATGTTTCTACTCACTTTCATTATATACATTCATTAATATGTGTGTCTTGGTTTTACCTTTGTGAACCCTGAATAGGGATACTTATTTTGCAAGACTGCTATATTACATGAATGCTTGTCATGCAATAATTGTGTAACAAATGGTATCTGTCTCTCCTTATTTTGAGTTTCATTATCCTAATTGGTTAATCTGTGGTTACATTTTTTCACATTCCACAGTGTTGAGAGAGTTTTATTGCCAGGCCTTGGGCACTGTGAAACATTCAATGGTTTAGAATTTGTGTTAGGCAACCTTGCAGAAAGTTTTTATGATGGTCTTTTGGACTATATTTTGTCACAGAGATAATATTCATTGTCACACTGGATCTACTCAAGTGGCTTTTGATAGTGGAGTCCCTAAATAGGATGGTCTTAATTCTTTTAGTTTAGCCTTCCCTGCAAGTCAGCCGTAGGGTTTTTCACCTAGCCCCTTGTCTTTCATCCTTAGGTTGTGATCCTTGACTTCTGGGGAAAAATGGAACACAGATAATTAAGTGATACTTCAATCACCAGCCATCTGAAAAACTACATTTCATTATGAGGTTGTCTCAAATTTTTTAAATTTCTTCTTGAACCCTCTTTCTAATTGTCTCAGTATTTTTTATCTAATTTAAAATAAAAGCTTTTCTACTTGCTTATTTTAGTTGTCTTTTTTCTTCTGTTTAGCTTCTCCAATTTCACAGATTTTCCTAAACTGAAACCAGAACTGTTTTCACACTGCATAACAGGCAGGCACCATATTGTTCACCCTGGAGGTGGGAAGAAGTGAAAATTCGTTCTGGGGATGACCAGGTCCTTTTTGATCTTCTTGACCCCAAATAGCTCACCCGACTGATGTCTGCAATGAACACTATCTGTTCCCCCATTTGCTGCCTCATCACTGAGCTCAGAGGTAAGTCACTATAAATTTTTTTTTTCTGTAAAAAAACCTTCTTTCACTGACCCCATTCAAATTTATCAGCCACTTTTCTTTTTACCCACCTACACTTATAAACTATTCCTAAAGCCTATGTTTGTTAATTTGGCATTTTTCACAGGGGAAGTCACAATGATGTTAATCTCTTCCACATATTTTGTCAAAAATGGTCAATAAATGTGGTCTCAACTTGATCTTGCTGTTTATTTTTCTATCAGATTTATTTATTTCTGCCTGTAGGTTTACCCTGCTAGGAATTCTCTATGCCTGACAAAACACTCTCCCTCTAGGAAATCAAAATGTGTTCAATATCTTTTGAGTGGAACATTAACAAAGGTTTTCTGGAAGAAGGTTGTCTTTTTTTAATTCCTGAGATTGTTATTTATTTTAAATAGACATGCTCTAGTTCATTTTTGACTTTCTGTTTATGTCTGTTCAGATGAATGTGGTAGCCAGGGAATATTTGTTTTAGAAATGTAATTCCTAAGGGGGAAATAATAAAATTCCCCCAAATTTATTCATTGATTTACACTTAGCCTTAAAAAAAGATTTAAGGTGGCTCTAAAAAAGATAGATGATGACATTTTGTGTTCGTTCGCTTGTTTTTAATTAGCTATATGGTTTTTGAGATGATAGTCTGAATCTTAAAGTTTTATTTTAACTTGACATATTTTAGGTTTTTCTTTCTTATTCTTTGCTCATAAATGCACTATTTCAAGATGAACAAAATACATGTTTAAGTGAGAACATGAAACAGTGAAAACAAAAGTAAAATAAAAAGATGTACTGTCAATGATTTTGGGTTCTCTATCCTTAATTAAAAATAAACCCATTCTTAAAATGTTTAGAGGAGTTTCTAGGCACAGTTGCTCATATGCTAGATGGTTGATAATTACCTGCCTCTGTGTAATTTCATTCTCCTTTTCCATAAGCCCCATACAATCCACAGACAGACCCTGATTCGACCAGATTTTTAAGAGCTTTCAGGTTTTCTCTAGTCTTCTCTCCTTGTGTGTATATATTAAAAATTCAGACAATATATAATCACAGAGAAATTCTTGCTCCACTGTGTGGCAGCTTCTCCCACATAGCTCTGCACACAGTAGTGTTAGGCCACAGTTACCCAGTGGGAATTTCAAATAAATAAAAACCTCTCAGGCTTTCTTTCCCCAAGGTGAGGTGACATTCATTTTACATGACTCATTTCCTGGCTTCCCACCCTCCAGGATCCTGCCCCAGGCTCTCTCTTGCTAACTTTCCCCTATTCCTCCCTTACATGACCTCTTAACCCCCACAGGACCAGACCAGTCTAAATTATGAAATGAAAGGCATCTTGGGCTCAGAGAAAGGATAATTGCAGTCAAAAGTTGGCAGGCTGGCTTTTTTGTCCTAGTTCAACCTCTGGCTAGCCTCAGCCTTTTTAATCTTGTGAATTTCAGCTTTGTCATCTTCATGAACAACTTCTATGCCAGGCTCTTAAAGCTGAAAAAATTAAACAATTATATGTATATACCTGTACAGGCCCTGTGCACTCCAGCATATGCATGTCTGAGCCTCTGAATAGTTCACTCACTTTCCTTCATCTGTGTTTGCTCTTCTTGCCCCTCCCACCACAAATGCCCTCCCCCTACTACCTTATCTCAATCACTTCCTCCTCCTAATTACAGTTCTGGTTGTCTGCACAGCTTACACAGGATTTATGTATTTCCTTTTATCTTTTCTGTTGATGTCAAGTTCACCAAGGCACTGAAGCCTCAGACCCTAATACTGTCCTGCAAATGGTGGGGGAAAGGTCAGTGTTGGTCCATTGTTCCTCGGGCTAGAGATCACTTCAGCCAGAGGAGAGGGGAAGGACTCAAGAACACGGGGATCCCTGGTTACAAATGTCCAGAAGCAGCCCACAAACAAATTGGAATGACCCTCTCCCTTATGTTAGTTTGCTCCTTGAGTTTGCCCAGGGATAAATGCATAAAGTTGACTACCTGACCTATGTGTTGGCTTTCTTTCTCTATGCATTGGCATCTCCCTCACAGTCATACTCTAGTTTGGCTGCATTTCAGTATTTAAGAAAGAAACTAGTCTCCTCTTCCTAAAAAAGAGCATCATGGAACTGCTCAATAAACATTGTTATCTGTCACCTGGCATCTTTCCAGTTTGATGGCAGTAAATTAGGGCATGTATCATGAATTTAAATTTGTGTTATGATCTTATTCGTGTTTCTGCTCCAACTACTTTTGGCTCAATGAGTGTGAGAAGGAAGTCTGTTTGTATAAGCAAAGGGAGCAAACAGGGATGGAAAGATGCTAAGGGGAAGATATTTTAAGCCTCAGGTTATTCTAAATATGGTATTTGGTTCAAAACAGTAGATTTTTACAGGATTCTGGAAAGTAACTTCTAAGCTAGTAGTCTGCCTTATAAAGCAGAGCCTTAAATCCTTATCTAAAATTAAACAAAATAAGCAGGTTGTCATCCTAATATTCAGGTCTTTGAAATCAGGTTGAAAATGTTATCCCACTTGAATCACACGCAATTCAGTGGTCAAAGAATGCTTAAACTTGTACTTGAACTTATGCAATTCAGCATATGGAGACCCCTTTTTAACTGACAAGCAAGTACATCTGAGAGTACCAATGATTACTTGTCAACTGTACTCCTCATAGTCCAATGTGTTAGTGATAAACACCTTATCTGCACTCTCACTATAGTCAGCCTCAATGTGACGCCAGGTAGTCTGAAAGTTTAGGTTACCTTCGATTCAGTCTACTGTTCTTGACTGACTGCCTAGAAACCAAGAGAAACAGCTATGAAGTAAGGGCAGAAATCCCACAATTTGTGCTTAATTTCTATATCTTACCACTTCTCTCAGTAACCCAAGGCTTAAAATGAATTTTAAAATGTTTGTGGCTGGTGCAGTGGATCAAGTGGTAGAGTGCCTGCCTAGCAAGCATGAAGCCCTGAGTTCAAACTCCAGTACCACCAAAATAAATAAATAAATAAATAATAAAATGTTCGTATTTATTAACTAAGTAAGCCAAATGATTCTTCAGTTCTCTTTCAATTTATGGCATATGCCATGGGAATACAGAATGGGAGTGGGCTTGAGCTTTTAAAGTTTGAGCTTTAAAATCAAGCACATACAAGTTCTGATTCTAGCTATACACCTTGGGTAACTTCTCAACCTGTTTAAGCTTCTATGTTCTCTTTCATAAGGCAGGGTTAATAAATCATTCCTCATAGGATTATTGTAGGAATTAATCCATACAGTCTCAGAAAAGTACCATGAATGCAGGATGTGCCCTTCTCTTGTCAGAGGGATTGACTCTGGCCTAACAGTAAGATATGCAGTTCTATCTGCAATGCCTCTGGAGACCGCTAGGACACAATTGGACCAACCACAACCTATACCATTGCTTCCAGGGTCTCTCTAAGTCACTGGCTAAGTAGCAGTTATATATTTATGTTTTCACCTCTAAAGAATGATAGAAGTGAATGCAAAACAGCAGGAGCTTATGATAAATTATACTCAGGCGTCAGGCTACTGAAAAGAGATGACCTAAAAGGCCTGCACTGTTTCTTAGAATGCAAACCTGTTTTCAGTTTAAAACACTGGCTTAAATTGAGTCCAGTTGGAGGTAAACGCTCTTAGCTACACTTGAACCACTTGACAGTGCTAAGTCTTAATGAATATTAATTGAATCACTGAACTTCCTGAATAACATCGGCAGAGTTTGATGGAAAGAAAAAAAATGAGTGGAAAAAGGATTAATGGTACCAATAATGTCTTTCATCCACAAAACACTGGTCTCCTTCCTGTCTGGTGAAACTTTTTTCTACAACTGTTTTGCTTTTCTATTGTGTTAACTTCATCTAGTCTTTTCTAATCCATTCTTACTTCATACATCATTAGCTCCTCAGCAAACACATTTCTGATATAGTCATCATCTGGTCACAGGCAGGACTGAAAGACTGAAATGCCTTCTGTTGGCATTTTCTTTCTAATAACAAACCTGGCTTTGACTAGTTCCACAGAGCCAGCATTGCTAGGAGCAATTCCAGCTGGTTTCTGTTTTGCCTCACATGACATCAGCAGAAGCTGTCTTTTGAGCTTCACTTGCTAGAAATTTATAACCAGGGATTCTGTTAAAAGCAGAAAAGACCCAGCTGGGCTTCCAGATCTCTAACTAAGGGAGTAGAGAGAAGGGAAAATCAAAAGCATGGCTAAGCAGGGATACAGTATGAAAACCTCTTTCTTTTGATTCACAAACTAGGGGCAATGGAAGTATTTGCCAGACGGGTGCACAATTACAATTCTGACATTTTACCCATGATTATATTCTCCCTGCTTAAAACCTGACCACAAGGAACACTTTGCCTGCCCTGTTGGCCAAGAGGATAGAGTTGGGTGATATGCTTTAGTGGGCTGGACAAAGTCCCAGCTACTCAGGAGGAGAGCAATGGAATGCTTTCCCATGCCCACCGGTCCCCCAACAAACACTCAAGTACCAGATAGAGTTCTACTCTGAAATCAGTGATTCTTTTAGATCTAATTGGAACACTCCCATTTAAGTTTATAGACTTGTGGAATATTCAAATAGCTGTTAAACTAGTCTAACAGATGGCCTGTCTCTGATAGCTTAAATTTGTGCAATCACTTTAAGGATGTGGTTAAAATTGTAACAACAGGGGCTGGAGATGTAACTCAGTGGTAGACTGTTTATCTAGCACATGCAAGGACCTTGGTTCAATCCCCAAGATTGCAAAAAAATATTCTAACAACATATTAAAAGTACATAATAAGACAGATAGACAGACACACACACACACACACACACACACACACACACACACCCTTAATATCAACCATAGCTTAGGTTTTGTTCTAATCCATAGCTCCACTATTGATAAAATAGGTAAGGAGAATTTGAGATATGTTCCACCCAGGATAAACACCACAAAGATCTCTGCTCTGGTTTACATTTAAAATGTGCATTTAAAAACTTTGAAACTTCTGTAGATAAATGGGCACCAGAGCTCCTCTTCCTAGACCGTTAATCCAAAGTTAGGCCAGGCTAGAAAAACTAAAAGACCCTCTGAGAAATGCTTTGAGAGAAGGATAGCTTCTCTTGCAGAACAAATGCAGAGCATGGAACCAGAACGGGTGTTCAGTGGGATGGACACTGTCACGATGACATGAGAAATCTCCCTCATCCAAGTGTCTGAGAAAATCATTCCTAACACACATTACCAAACAGTAACTTGCTGATCTTTTGCTCTGAGTTAATTATAACAATTTCCCTCTTTGACAGCCTGGAGTAAAATATGGCATTAAGAAGCCTGGGGGTAGAAATCTTGGAAGGGCCTAAAAGAGAGGAACAGAAGATGTAGAGAAGAGAAGGAATTATTTTCATGTTGTTGATGAGAACTGTCTTTCCATTTAGGTTGTGGTTATTCCTGCCCAGTGCTGTCCATAGATTTAACTAGATCCTATTACCATTCTAGTGACACTCAGAACCACAGGCAAGTCAAAAGTAAGGACTACTTCTCTCTCTCTCTCTCTCTCAATATCTCCCTCTTATTTAATAGAGCTTCAGGAAAAACTGACATCTGACTCTAAATTCAGATGCATCTTGAGGGCACTGCAAATCAGAACTTTTAACCCAGTTCCCCACATTCCATGTTTGGCTCTCACTGGTAGTTGGGCAGTGATGGAGGAGGCAAACTACCAGGAGAAGATTTCTGCCAGCTGATTTTAAAAGTGCTCCTGAGAGTCATTCAACAAGGACTCTTCCTTACTTTATCTCTACTCCCCATCCAGGTTGCCCTACTTTTCCCTTTAAGGCTTCCAATATAGATACAGACCAATTAGGGAGAGAAAAGGAACCCTGCCATGTTCCCCCATACACATGCTTCTAACTCCTACGTTCTAACAGAGAGAAATGCCTCTCCTGAGTTGTGATTAGAGGAACTCCTTCACTCTTCTAGTCTTTGAACTTGATAAAATAGAAGCTATGTCCACAAATATCCCTTGGAAGAAAGAAGTAACAATGGAGAGCATATAGCAGGTTTAGAAGAAGTTGACTACAGGTGCTTCCCTGAGCTCAGATCTAGGGTCCCCAGCTATGGACTCTGTATTATAGGGTCAGATCTTGTGTGTATAGAGATTCATAAAGCATCTAAGCCAAAGGGAGCTGCTGGTCTGACCATCTGAACTTCGACATGGTGCAGACTCAGCCATAGTCTGGCATCAAGCAATGTGATTTTATAAAACTAAGGAGACAAACATGAACACACACTCCCTCACCCACAGACCATTAGCAAGGAGATTACTTACAAGGAGCCTTCGTTTGCCTTCAAAGGATCCCAGCAGGTCAGTCACTGACTTCTTGGGACTTGGAGGGAGTTGTTTTGTGGTGGGCTTCTGATAGCCATCCTGCTCTGCTTTGCCTGCTTTTTTCTTCTTACTCCTCTCTTTCTCCTGCTTGTTCTTTTTCTCAGCCTTCTTCATTTGCTTTTCACTCTTGAGTAACTTGTCTGCTTTCTCATTCTTTACCTTTTTTTTCTTCTCCTTCTCAGGTTTCTCAACCTTTTCATGCTTCTTCGACTCTTCTGCACTTTGCAAAGGTATGTTCCCCACCTGCAGCTCCTCCTCCAACTGAGAGGCAGTAGGTCGGCTGAGGTCATACTTATCCTCATATTCGTTGCTAAGAATTTTGTCCTGGGTCTTCTTTTTGGGAAGTTTCCCCTTTGCTGGTTTGTGGGGACCTGGCACTACATTTGGGTCCTCATGGCCCTGTTCCCTCCTGTCTGTGCGGTTGTCTCGGAAACGGCCTTGGCCAACAGCCCTTGTGCTGGGCTCCCAGACTGTGGCTGGAGAAGCGGCTGTGAAGCTTTCAAAGCTGGTGGCCTTGCTGGGCTTCCTGGTGGCCTGTGGCCTTTCCCTCTGTGGCTCCTTCCTAGGTGGAGGGTAGACATTCTCTGAGACTGAAGTTCCCCTGGCAGTGGTCACCTCAGCTGTAGCAGGGGGCCTGTGGGAGGCTGAGATGGGTTGTACCCGCGAGGTCCAGGGCCTCTGGGTAGTTGGAAAGGTGGTGGTAGTCGTAGGTCTTGCAGCTACTGTTACCACCCGGGTTACGGCCCGGGAGGCCGTTGTGGCTGGAGCAGGAGGGAGAGTGGTGGCCCTTGGGGTTGGGGGAGGCGGGGGAGCTGCTGCCTTGGTGGTAGCCAGCTTTCTCATTACCTTTACCCGAGTCTCTCTGGTTGGGGGGACTTGTGCTTTCCTCTGGTCCTCTTTCTTCTTCTCACTACCCAGGCTTGGCCTTCCTGCTTCTCCACCATTGTTCCCCTCCTCTACAACCTGGCCCTCTACCCCAGAAGCCTTACACTTTTGGACAAAACCCTTCTGCCTGATCTTCTCTATCTTGCGGATGGGGCCTTGGTCGATGACCTCATACATGGCCTCTAGCCTGACCGGGTAGGGGTAGCGCTCTTCCACCTGTAGTGTCTTCTTCAGGAGCACCATGCCAAACTTGCCCTTCTCCAGCTTCAGGAAGCTCATCAGCTTTGGGATGAGGCTGGGGTCCAGGGACTGCTCTAGAATCTGGCCCTCACTGGTGATCCTTCGTACCTTGCCCCCTTCCTCGCCTGCCTGGTGGAACAGCACAATCTGCTGGATGTGTCTTTCTGCCAGTTCACAATATACATCATCCTTCAGGAGGCTCATCATGAGCCGGTAGTAGCCTTCCGAGGCATGAGGGGCAGAGATGACCCACACCCTGTTCTTCCCTGCAAAGCTGGCAAGGATGTTGGGAGAGCTGGACCCCGAAGGGAAACGCAACATTCTTGACCGAACAGAGGATCCCTCATCTCGGACCATCTCACGGGGGGAGGTCCTGGCTGTGGGTTTCAGCTCAGGTCTCACAGGGCCTCCATTGATGCCCAAGGGAGTTGATCGCACTGTTGGGCGAGCTAGTCTCAACACTGGCACATTCCTCCTTTGAAGAGGCTGAAGGATTGGCTGTTCCAGAGTGGATCTCTCAGTCCCACTAGATCGCCCCGTGTGTCTCAGAAACCGAGCTGGCCTCCTGCTGACTGGAGAAACTTTCTGAATTTCATGGTTCCTTCTATTCGTGACAGGGGGCTGAGGCTCTGACCTACACACCAGCCACATTGCCAGCAGCATGGTGAAACAGGGTCCCATTCTCCACATCATTGTGTAATCCACTTTGAGATGCAGAGGGGTCATAAGACAGAAAGGGGAGGGAAAGAAAAAGAAAGAAAATCATTTAATTACAAACAGAGCTGGTCATTATCTCTCTCTCTATCTTGGCCAAGAAGAGGGGGAAGGGGTGGCTAGAGAAGGAAAAAGGAAGGAGGTCAGAGAATGGAAAATAGGATGAGATCCTGTTGCTTTTAAACTCCTATAATTGTCAATGCTTAGCACAGACAGTTACATTAAACAGGAAATCCAACTGAGTTCCCCAACCAGTGTGCCTGACTATTTCAACTAACTCTCTGGATGCTCCAGGGAAAATGGGAACTGAGTCTATTAATTATGACAACATTAACATTTCATTTCTTCAAATATCCAACAAAGAAACAAACACATCAAGGCCAGAAAAGATCACACACTTACATTGAGGCTCATAGAGATGGAATGCAGAGGGTTTCAAAAGAAATCTGAAGTTTGGTCCCCAGGACAGTTCCTAGATGAAATCCTTTTCTCCCAGCCCTCTCTCCTCCTCAAGGGTGAGCAATACAAAAGGCGTGCGCTGCAGCCCCAGCTTGCAAAGTAGCCCCCACGGATCACAGCCTGTCCTGGTCTGAGAGCTGAGCCGACTCCTTTTTTTCAGGCTATGTCTTTTTACCTTCTGGACAAGTGGGATGAGGTGAAAGGAGCTGTCCTTGTAAGTCTTTGTATCTCCATTTGTCTGCAGTTTCTCCTTGGTCTTGTGTGTCAGTCCCTTGCAGCAACAGGGACGTCCTTTAAAGTAGAGTCCTGTGTTTTCTGAATCTCGCTCATTCCCTTTTTAAAGTTCCAGGAGCCTTCTTATCACCCTTTCACCCGCAGTCTGGCTTAGTCCCTTTGTTTCCGGATGTAAAAGCACTGGGATTAATATGTTTTCCAGGCTGAGAGAAAACACAGGAATGTGGTGTTAAAAAAAGACTTTTCCCCTTTTCCCCTTCACTTCTCTCCTCTCTTTATTTCTCCCCACTTTTTTCTTCTTCCTCTTTCTTTCTTCTTTTTCTTCTTCCTTTTCTCTGGATTCAGTCCCCAAATTGTCAGGGCTACCTCAGGTTTGCTCCAAACCAAACTCGAACAACAGCAGCCACTGGAAATCAAGGAAACTTCAGTAAGAATTTAACAGATCAGCAAAACACGCCTCCTTCCCATTTCAGCACATCCAGAGTGGACTCCGTGAGGAGGGAGAGGGCTGTACTTTGGTCTGGGGGAAAGTTTTGAAACACTACACATCATCATAAATCACTTCAGAATAGGATGACTGAGGACTTAACCTCTTACATACCAAGTGATCAGGGCTCCTTCCCTTCCTGTCTGTTCTCACACTGCACTTTCAAAAAGGTAAATTCTCAGATTTCTACATCTGGGTGCTTGGTTTTCTTAGCGACACATACTCATTTGGGTCAGAGTGCTTGGCTGTGCACACAGACAGTATATGTCTATTTATAGTTCCATGAGTATATTTTTATCTCTTTCTCCCTGCTTTATGCTTTTAGTTTGAGGTTGGAAAAGTCCATGGAAAACATGACTGGGTTGTTTTTATATTATGCTAATTGGAGATCATATTACTGTGTTCTGGGTCCTAGTTTCTCGGATGGAAGCTGGTAAAAGGTTAGAAATGCAGGCAACTACTGTTATCCTGTGAGATCAGGGATTGGATGTCACATCAGGGAACAGGCATCCTGATCTCTAGCTTCAGTGCTCTGGCTAGAGATGGTACACAAAGGACTTCTTTGGAAGGCATGAGTCTCTGTGTGTGTGTGTGTGTGTGTGTGTTGCAATGTTCTGCACTCCAGAGCCTTTAGATACCTGGAGGGCTTTAGACAATCCTTAGAAGTCACCATATCAGTTTCCAAAGGATAAACTGAGGCAGCTTTGGGCTTCCACCCTCTGGGTCTACCATGAAGATTCAGTTTTTAGCAAAGAGGGAAGGTGATTCAGGTTATATGACTATTTTTTCCGGCTTCTCTAAATCAGTATTAACTGCCGCCAAGAGTGGCCTCCCAAGGTCCTCAGAAACCTCTTTGTGAGCCAGGTCACACTGTTGGCTTCGCTTGATGGCTTACCTTGGCCAGCCCCATCTCCCCTGTCACATCTACTTTTCTTTCATATAGGCTCCAAGTACTGAAGAGGAGTTGAGCGTACAGCTCTCTGCTAATAGTTTGAAGTCTAAGGGGTAACCAGAAGGAAAGCCCTCCTGCAGTATGGCTCAGATCCTTGTGAATTTGGTGACAGAGTCAGAGATGACTTCGGTTATCATGGGATTCATCAGTTAAGTTGATCAAATGCCTGGTGCTCAGTTAGACAGTCTAGATGTCGTTTTCTCTTTCCTTATTTCCTAATGTGTTCTACACGATTCCTTACTGGGCCTCTTCCTTATGCTTTTTTCTTTCTTTTCTCTTCTCTCTAATAACAACTACCATTTATTGAACATTTTCATTTTGGCACTTTCACATATTCTTATTTAACTCCCATAGCATCCCTGGAAGATAATGGGATGATCCCCACTTTACAGATGAACAGACTGAGGCTTAAATAAATTTCCTGTTGTCACACAAACAGTAAGTGGGGGCTCTGAAATTTGAATCTGGGTTAAGAAGTGTCTACAAAATACAATGGTGTTCTGCCTCCTTTCTTTTCCTACCCTCACTTTCTCTTTTTTTCTGTTCTTTCAAGTCCTTTTTGTGCTCCCCATGTTCATGGAAGCATCTCACTTATCTTCCACCAGAGCACTTCAACCAGAGTCCTGCTTTCTGGAGGAAAGCCTTTCTCAATAGGCCTTCAGAGTTATCCTTTTCTTGAATGTGTCATGGTTTCTGTAAATCTCCCAACACTGTGCACAGCATTTGTGACCTGTGCACTGGTAAGCTCAGATATAGCTAGTTTAGTGACCTGAGGTTGTCTTGGGGGAAGCACCTAAACCTTGAGCTGCACCTGTCTTCCTCAGACCTCAGGCTTTCTTCCCTTCTATGAGCTTTGGTCAGTAGATGGCGCGCTACACACATGCACACAGGAGCAGACCTATTTAGGGGGCATCCCCAACATGCTCAACCCCTCCCCCCACACACTCAAACACACTAGCAAAGTGTGACTTTTCCTGCTTGTTCAGTATTTTTTCTATCTCAATGCCTGAAGCCTTACCTGGGACCTCAGACAAGCTCCTCAGGGAAGTCTGGGAAGCATATACCTAATAAGAGCAATTAGGGAACAAGTTCACTACCACCCCTTTTGTAGAGAAGCTTATAATGATTTATGACTTGTAAGAATTCTCAATTTCTAGTCATGACTTAATAGCTCTGTATTTAAAAGTCCTGCATCTCTAGAGCTTTCCATTTTTCTTCAGCGTAAGTAAGAAACTTGTAGTGCTGGGCTGGAGGCAGATCTGGAAAGGAGAGATTGATGATGAGTCACAGAAAGGTAAAAAGGATACAATTTAAAAATAGAATGCTAATTTGGGAATTCACTGGCAGGGAGCTACCTGATACTGGTTGCATAGTAATTTAACAGGAGGGAAGGAAATAATGTTCAATCCTGAACTGCTTTAGAGACATGAGGCTGGGAGTATTTGATGAAAGTTGGAGTACATGTAAGGAGACATCCAGAAAGGGGTTCACTACCTGGTCAGACCTACGCAGACCTAAGGTTTTAGGGACCTGGGACCTAGACTCAGAGAAACAGGCTTTCCCAGGCAAAGCAGAGAAGCCAGGGTTTCTGTTACCTGCAGTTGGTTCTTGTGCACAAAATTACTCAGTGGATATTCTGAACTGAATTCAGAATATTATCTGAAAAAAATCATTTGCTTAAGAGAAAATGAGAAGAAAGAAAAAGGGAGGAAAACAATTAGGCTGTGTTAAGTGGAGAGAAACCACCTCTCTTGCTCTGTGATACTCAGCTCCCCAGCAGGAAAATTAGCACAGCCATTTGGTCACCCCACTAGGGCGGGTACAAGTAGTATTCACATTGAGGACATTGCTGTGTGCTTTTCCTTCTCACTCACAGACCTCAATCAAATGTTCAGTCTTCAGCCACTCTGATGTCCTGCAGAATGCAAATGAAGTTTCCCCTTTGTCAGCATTCGCAGTGTAGGCGGAACTAGAGAAATAAACACAGGCCAGGGGAAAGCCCACCATGACTATTAACTCAGGATGCTGCAGCAGCCCAAGGAGGTTCTGAGAAAAGTTAACCTTCCCAAAGAAATGCTTGATATTGACCCTGATATGTCACCAAGGTCATACATTTAACTCAAAGCTGAAAAAAGTATACTCTTTCAAAAAATAAGACTTACCTGACGGAATAATGGCCAAAACTCTTGAGAAGAATAGCTACTAGTATTCTTTTTAAAAATTCATGTAATCACTTTAGAGTTTGTTGGGGGAAACATCAAGGTATTTCTTTCAGGAGAAAAGTTAGTTAAATTAAAAAGATCTTTATCTTGTAAGTAGAGAAAATTGAAGGAGCTTACCCTAGCAGAAATTAAGGAGCTTTGTGAATGACCTGATGTTCATTTTAAATCTCTAATGTCAGTCAATGATTTTAAGTTCAGCTCTTTACTGGTTGCTACTCTGTGTAAGAGGTGTGAACTCACAGGTGTATGAATTTTGCTGCTTGGGGGAATTAGTGCTGGGGTTAGGGACAGGTACTTTCAAAGTCTTAATCATTTGTTATGTAATGCATACAGAAGATTTATATCAATCACATTTGAAGGGGAACATTCTGGTTGTTTCTCCATTCCTTCGGTGTAACCCAAAAGATAGAGATGATCCAGTTTCTCTCTCTTTTTTTTTAGCCCTCTCTCAAATGTTTGCCCAAAGTGCAGACATTGCACCAGGAATGATAGTTAACCAAGCAGTCTCTTTCCCTAAAATCTCGAAGCCTGCTGGAGAAGATAAGCAAATATACTCTCTGTAGCAGTGCTGCCAACTTTCTCTTCATGTAAATATTCAACTACCTGGGGCCAATCAAAGTCTAAAAATATGAAGTGGAAAATTCCAGAAATAAATAGTTCATAATGTTAAATTGCATATCTTCTGAGTAGGTATGCAAATCTCACACTGTCCTGCTCCTCCCTTTCTGGGACAGGAATCATAGGTGCCCAGCATATGCATCAGTTGCTTAGTAGTCATCTTAGATGTCTGTTTGATGATCATGGTACTTAACTGCAGTGCTTATGTTCAAGTAACTCTTATTTTACTTAATAATGGCTCAAAAGTGCAAAGATAGTAATGCTGGCTATTGAAAAATAGTAAAGAGAAACCATGAAGTGCTTCCTTTAAGTGGAAAGATGAAAGTTCTTTAATGAGGAAAGAAAAAAAATTCATGCTGACATTACTAATAGCTATGATAAGAATGACTCTTTTCTTCTTGAAATTGTGAAGGAAAAAGAAAGTCAAACTACTTTTGCTGTCACACTTCAAACTGCCAAAGTTATGGCTGCAGTGGATGATAAGCACTTGGTTAATATAGAAAAGACATTAAATCTGTGTATGTATGCATAGCAGAAAACATAGTATAATTAGGGTTCAATACTAGCTGTGGTTTGAGGAATCTTTGGGGAGGGGTATGGTGTATGCTCCATGGATAAGGAGTGGCTGCTATATACCTAGACCTAGATATGTGCTTGAAAGAGAGTTTTTAAAAGGAAAAGGAGTAAAAGGTGATGAAGGGAAGGAGGTCATTTTTAGATAGGGATAAAGATAACGGACATAGAAAGGAGGAGAATGTCATTCATTCATTAGGAGAGAGAACATTCCCTCTGGACAGCAAGTGCATAAAACTGCAGCAGGTACCATTTCACAAGGGCGTCCCAGAGAGTGATGTTGTAGCTTCTAAGCAAAGTTGCGGCAACACTGGTATATGATGTAAAGGGTAGCTACGTACGCTGTCTTGACTGCCTAGAGACAGTCAAGTCCTGAAGGTATGGAGCAAGAATGGTGGCAGGGAAATCTTTTAGGAAGCTATTGTACCAGCACAGATAAAAAGTGTGGTAGATTGAACTAGGGTGCTTATAGTGGAAAGGTGCAGAATATCATCCTATTTAGTATATATTTTGAAAAAAGAGCTGACAGGAGCAAAATTTTTGTTAGACACTCTATTGGATGAAGGAATCTGGACTTCAAGGAGGACTGGGGCTGGAGCTACAAACTTGAGAAGTTATTTAGAATATAAATCTAGACAAAATCACTTATGGGGTAAATATAGGAGGAGATGAAAAGGAGTAAAAGACACAAAGGACGACAGCCAGAAGAAAGGCAGGAATGTGCAGTGGTTTTCAGTAGCTCATAGCTTGGACCATGTTACTTCTTGGGCACTTTCTGCCATG